TAATGATTGCTTCAGTGAAAGACTTGTATCTTTCATAAATATGTTAAAATAAATGGTGGTGGCCAATCAATAAGCTATTATTTTGCGCTAGGTAACAATGAATAGGAAACAAGTCTACTTTTGCTAAATTCAATTGTGATAAGTGAAAAAGTGGTTAATCAGCTGTTCCAGGGCAGATCGGCATAGCAAATCGTATGTGCAGGGGAACTGATCTGCCCTGGAACAGCTGTTGGTTCCTGGCGACCAGCCCACCTGAGGCTCTGCAGAGCCCACCATAGAGAGTCTCAGATGGGCTGTGCAAGATCTGTGGTGTGCTCTGCATGGTCACTCTCAGGTGGGCTCTGCAGGGTCTCAGGTAAGCCCAGAGTCCAGTGCGTTGCTAAGCCCAGAGTCCAGTGCGTTACTAAGCCCACATATACCTATATTCATGCTATACATAGCATTAAGGTAAAAAACTATATATGCAGTGTTATCTTCATTTTAGATGTCAAAGGGGTTTTGTGGCTCCCGGTGTTTTCTTTTCTGTGGGAAACGGGTCCAAATGGCTCTTTGAGTGCTTAAGGTTGCTGACCCCTAGTTGTTGTTATAATAAGCTATTATTATCACAGAATAGAAACATTGTGCTAGAAAGAAAATCCCGTTGTGATTTACTGCTTCCTACACTGCAAGATCTGCTTAAAAACCATTTACATTTTCCAACTTTGCCCCATCTGACTGCTTCTGTCTTTAATTGATGCTGAAAAATCAGTCAAAAGTGATTAAAATGGTAGTGGATATGATTAATAATTAATGCAAAATCCCTCAGAAATATAATAAAAGTTTGAGTGAAAAAAAATGATTTGTGTACATCCCATAATATCTTTTTCTCCAGTAGTTCAGTAAAAGGACACTAGGCACAGCTCTATCTAGTGATTATAGCCCTGCGTGCTCAGAAATAGCAACCAGTGAGAAAACTGAAGTAACGGAAGATAACCTTCTTAAAGCTACCCTGGCAGGGATTTTTAAAAAAAAATCTACCCCTGCACTGACAGCTGACGCCCACCGCTGTCAGAATACCCGAACACTGAGTGCAGCTGATTGGGTGCAGTCTGCACCTGAGAATTTGCGGAATTTGCTGCTAGGGCTACCCAGGGAGCAAATTTTGGCTGGCTCATCAAGAACTGGCTGTAATTCACTCAGTGTATGGCATGTAAACCAAACAGTTTGCCAGTAAATACTGGGGTATGACCACTAGATGGGGCTGTGTCCTTTGCTTTGCCTAGTGTTCAACCTCCTTGAGGGAACAACTATGCCCATCTATAGAGGACTGACTGATTGTGTCCTCAAATGCATGCTGGGAGAAACTACAGTATAGACAACTGCTGATTCCACCAAATTATGGAGATGATTATTTCAATGAATGATACAATCACTACATTTATGGCCAGCATAATTCATACCAAGCTCTAGATCTAGCCTGTCTCTCAGTAAAAAGAAAAAAACATCTCCCCTTGCAGTGGGGCTAGCCCGGAACTGGAAGGACTAACTGCTCACTTTTGGCTAGGGTTATGGTTTAAAGTGATTTTACGTACATGATCCCTGGCAGGTGGTGCTCACCTCAGTCCCCTCCACTCCGACTTGTGGACTGTCCCATGGCGTCCTCACATGTAATGCAGGGCTTTGGACCCTGCATTAGATGCAGTAACATTAGCGGGCCTCAGACCGCCAGAGCATAGGGTGAAAGAGGATACGAGCGCCAGAATTTGAGGAGCAGGGATCAGGTAAAAAAAGTTCTTTACATAGGTCCTATAGGTCAATGAGCAGTTAACCCTTGCAGTGTGGGGGTAGCCCCACTGCAAGGGCAAGTTGTTGTTTTTTCTAAATTAGAGGTAGGCCTTAATTTTGATCAACCACCTGATGAGGGCCCACAAGAACCTCTATGACCCGTGCGATGCCAATGATAAAAAACCATGGCAAGTGGTAAAGGGCCTGGGAAGATCCTGGGTGTGAAAATGTAATGAATTGGGAGCATTGATAGCATAGGACACCACATGGGAAAACCCGGAAGCAGATACAAGAATGACGTCATGATGGCACAGATGACACTGCTTTTTATTGGCCAAAACAGAAACACCTGAAACTTGAAAATGCATGAAGGGCTCATCCGCACAGGCACAAATGCACGCATAGTGGCATGCAGTATAAAATATGCCCGTATAGTGGCACCCGCTAGCCCAAGCTGCTGCGTTTTTCTGTTCATAGCAATGTATGAACAGAAAATGTAGTACTCCCGTAAATGCCAGTACCAGAGATTACATGCGCATGGGGGTAAGTGCCCAAACGTGAAAGTTTCATATTTAGGAACTTATGTGCGCGCATGTGCATGGGAAGAAAAGCGCAGCAACTGGAGCTGCTGGGCCTTGGGAATATAGGCGTATTTTACACTTTATGACAATAGCTATTTCTACCTGTGTATATACTGTATATGAGCCTGAAAAATGCCATCTTGTGTGCAGAAAAAGCTCAAAATCATCTGTAAGCCCTCATGCGTGTGAATGGGGACAAACAATTGTACCAGTGTATGGTCAGCATCAGTAAGTGCAAGATGGTGCCTCCTACTCTGTTTTTTTTAAAATCTATATGGTGGTAGTAAGATGGTTAATGTAATGAATAGAGATTTGTAGATCGATCGTACTAAGCCACTGAGAGCTCCCTCTAGTGACTAAAGAAGAACTCTGGGAAAATCACAAACTTACTCCTATAGGGTTGCTAACCCTCCCACTGCAAGAGTTAAGTGCTGTTTTATTTATAGTGTGGTCATAGGTTTTACTCACCTGATCTTCTATCCAGCCGCAGTTGGCACTAACCTCTCTCTCCCTCTGCATTGGTTGAGGAACATCCATTGTTGTCCTCATGTCTAATGCTGGTCAATGGACCTGCATAAGACAAGATGACATCACTGCAATGGACATTCATAAAATGTGATGACGTCAGCGGTCCTTAGACTGGAGGAACCCAGGTGAGAAGGGACTGTGGGGTCCGGGCTAGCAGCCTGGGGGCAGCACCAAGGATCAGGTAAGTAAATCTGCTTTATTCGAGCTCCCTAGACAAAACCAGCACATAACCCTTGCAGTTAAGCACCGGCTTTGCAAGTGTAAGTGTGTGAGTCTCCCAGAGATCTCTCTATTTCAAATGTTTGAAATAGGAGAGCCACACAGGGAGGGCATTCTTTTTACATGTATCATTGAACAGAGAAAGATACCACTAAGCTGGCCGTACACTGGTACATTTTAGTATGAACCTTTATATGAAAAATTACGTCAGAACATTTGATAATGCCATTGTAGCCGATTATGAACTTCGTACGAATTTCCGTTCAGTTCACATTCCATTCTAGATTAGATCTCCAGCCCTCCAGCTGTGCTTTAACTACAATTCCCAACAAGTTTCTGCAACTGGGAGTCATGCTTGTAACTGTCAGTCTTGCAATGCCTCATGGGACTTGTAGTTCCACAACAGCTGGAGAGCCGCAGTTGCCCACCCCTGGATTAGATGGAGTTTCCATCTAATCCACTGTTATATTTTTTGTTGTTGTTAAAACGATAGGCTGAGCAAAAAACACATAACAGATTCTTCCATCAATGCGAAATAATGTGGATGAATGGATCTCTTGCCGGGCATTGACGGTGACGGATGTGCCAGAATGCCCGAATAGTGATGACTGCTGAGCGGCTGGCGTCACTGTTGCCTGAAAATTTTCTGACCGCCTCCTTTGATTTTCTGATCAAAGGATGCCAGGGCAGTGGCGTCCCGAGGCCGGGTGTCACCCCGCCGTGACGGCATCACACGCGTGCACGATGATCTAATTGACTCCCGCTGGTGGCCATCTTGGTGATGGACGGCAGAGAGAGGAGGGGACATTCACCCAGTGGGAATGATGTATGCCGCCGGCTCCCCTCCTCTCTCCTACAAACGTCACAAGTCCTGTAGCACTCCTTACCGGAAATCCCAAAGAGGTTAAATGGGTGCTCGAAATGACAGAGGATAACGGCGCACATAGAACAACTTTAGATGTAGATTTCACCAGCACACCAGGCACGACAAAAACATGTGGGTCAGTGCAAATCCGTTTAATGATGTGTCACTCTGAAAATCAAGCGCTTTAGGGCCACGCCGGGTGCCCTTCATCAGGCTCTGAGCCGCACCCCCCTTGTGATGCCACTGTGCCAGGGTTCTATCGAAGTCTCTGATAAACATTGAAATCTCGTATTCCGTCACTTCAGGTAACTTGGTAGCAGAAGATTGGGACGAGTTGGCGTTAGTGTGCATGTGCGCGCACCCGGCAGCATAACACTATCCAGGAGGATTTCTATACCACAGCATGGTGCATGCACGCACAGCATTAACAACTCACTTGTTGAGTTCTCCAACACCTGTGAGTGTACATGCGCGTCTATGGTCACAGTCAGGTGCGCACATGCGCACTAACGCCAACTTGTTAAAATCTCCTGCTGGCAAGTCACTGGAAGTGACATAATTGTCGATTTCGATGAGTTGGACATTTCGATAGAACACCGGACGGAAAGGCTGCCAACATGGCCCCCCTCTGAGCGAATTTTGAACCAGCTGAAGTACTCAGTGTACGGCCAGCTTTAGAATTTTGTTAATTCGAGACAAATATTTCCATGCTGTTCTTCTCCTCGGCTATGGACCCAACATGAGACGAAATGGTGTTAGTGGGTCTCCGACCACCGAGCATATAGGGGGGAAGAGGCTGAGTGCTTGGAGCCAGTCAGGTAAGTAAAATTTTATTACAAAGGGACTGCTCCTTGGATTTTTTTCTGTCACTACAGTCAAATTTGAACGTCGATTTGACCCCATGAACAATGACATTATCGTAGAAGGTTCCTAAACACTTTATTGTGGCAGTGTAAATCTAGCCTGTGTACTATACAGTGTCCTCTGTGATGTGTGAGGAGCTCGGAGTGCCACTCCTATGTAGGGCATGGATCTTCTCTCGGCTGGCCTCGCCTCTCCTCCCCTCCCTGCAGGAAGTGCTGTGGAGGAATGAAGCGGGCCAGCTCGTGAAGTTGCTCCAACTTTTCCGCGGACACAAATAAGGGCGAAGACCCGGCAGGCTGGAGAGAAGGGAGGCAGCCGAGTATGGTACACGAGGGGCACTGACGGGATGGGCCTGAAGCCGTGGATTTGGGCACTCTGTGCCCTGCTGGTGCCCCGGACTCTGGGCAGAGAAGGTAGGTCCGGTGGGGTGAAATGTGGGCTGTGTGGTGTTCTGTCAGGTTCGTCCATGAGAATGATTGACGGGTAGGTACTTATACCCGAAGCCGGGCGTGAGTGAGGTGCGTACGAGGAAGTGTCACCTACATGTCAACTCTTGTATATGGGAGCAGAGGTCTCCTCCTCACAGTACTACCTGGACTTTGGGAGAGACACATTTCCACCTCCACATTACAAAAGCAGGGGGATGAGGGGTATTTGTGTGTGGGGGGTCTGTACACCTGTGCAAGGTGACATCACATGCGTTGCAGTGCGATTTTACTGCGTTGCGGTAGGGCAGATCATTAATTTGAATAGGCTTCCTACTTCATTTAAATCACACTAAACAAGTGCACAACCCTTTTTTTAAAAAGCGCATCACGCCGCAATGCATTGTAATTTATCATGCGTTATGGTGTGATGCAACGCAGATGTGATGCCTAGGTGTGCTGGAGTATCATTTATGCCATGTTCACATCTTTGCGTTCCGGCATTGCAGTGTTAGGTTATTTCTTGAAGAAGAACTCTGCAGAAAAAAAATGTTGTAACCTTTCCAGTGGGGCGACCTCTGGCCTGCAAGGGTTAAATGCTTATTTTTATCTAGGTTATAAGGTTATACTCACTCGAACTTCGCAGCCAGCTTTCTCTTGGACCGGTCCCCGGAGCCTCCGTCGCCCTCCTCTGCAGCAGCCTGAGGTCCCGTAAATCATCACGTTCTATACACAGGGGAATTTATCAAAACTGGAGCAGATAGAATCTGGAGCAGTTGCCCAGGGCAACCAATCAGCTTCTCACTGTAAGTTTGTTCAGCTATGATTTAAGAATGAAAGAGAGAAGGAGATTGGTCACCTGCTCCAGTTTTGATAAATTCCCCTCTCTTGGACAACGTGAGGATGCCAAGGGACATACCATCACTGCAGCGGAGGAGCTGGAGGGAGCGCAGTGACAGCCGTCCGGTTCTGAGGATCAGGTATCATTTTTTTTTTTTACATCTAGACAAAAACAAGCACTTAACCCTTGCAGGGCAGGGGTATACCCACTGCAAGGGCTATGATTTTTTTCTCCCCTGGAGTTGTTTCTTAAAGGCACCCCGGCGGGTTTTTTTTTTTAGAGCACGGAAAGTCAGATGCATTGTTTTCTTTGGGCCAGCGCACATAGCTAATGCAGCGCTGCATACAGATCCCAAAAATTCAGGGCGCTAGAAGAATTTTACTCACATTCAGTGCATGCATATGGACGTTTATGCGTCTATCCGCGTGTAAACGCAAGCACTTTACAGAGCATTTTTTCTGCCAGCAAGATCCGGCGTAATGTATTATGTCCGCATACAAGAGCCCTAAGATGGCATGAAAAAATTTTGATGAAGGTGTCTTGATGCGCTTTTCTTTGTTATACTGCAGTGTTGGAAGTGGATCTAAACCGAACCACTAAGATCTCACATAATATTATTTCACAAATGATTTTCAACCGTCTCTCACATACGCTCCTGCGTCATCACTCTCTCACGTGACCCTGGTAGAGACAACAAGTGGCCATTCTGACCAACATTGCACAGGCATGGCCCACTGTTGTCACTCTCATGAAGTTGTTGCACAGCAGCTAACACTTTCCGTTAACACTGTGTTTTGTTGCATGTTTTTCTTGCGTTATACGTCTTTGTTTTGGAAAATGAAGGTGATATGAAGTCGGTTACTATGTGGCGGGGTTTGTTTTCATGCTCTAACACTCATGAAAATACATGTTCCATTCATTTTTCCTGTGTTTTTTCCTGTGCTCACATTGAAGTCTATGGGGCTAAAAATGTGCATTGTAACACCAAAAGAAGTGCCTGCACCTTTCCAAAAAATTGCACTGCACCATGTTGCATACGTGTGAATGGCCACCATAGAGAATAATAGGATTTTCTTGTCGTGCACTGTAGCAACACGGCAGACACGCAACAAATTGCAGTCATGTGAATGGACAGTAAAACAAGTGCATGTAGACAAGAGGCTGATGAAGGCTGGAGGAGATCGGAAGCACTGAGATGCAATAAAGGAGGAAAATTGTAAAAATCTTTCTTTTTAAGGCCATTGTTTATGATACACAGTGATTTAACAAATGAAGGGCCCAATTACACTAGTCCACACATTTAAAGTGACACTAAACTCCGGAGCTAAATGTAAAAAAAATTATTCCTGTACCCCAACTATTACAAAAAATATATCTTATTTGTGTATCACTCGGCTGTAGATCCTCAAATCATCTCTGAATTGGCGCTGACACTGTCCTTCCTTCTGGAGGGTGGCTACTTTTCTTCCCCATGGTCCCTGTGTGTGTTGTAAAGTAGTCAGCACTCCACGCTTGCTCCAGAGATAGACTACAATCTCAATACAAATCAGTAATCTAAACATGAGATTGTAGTCCATCACGGGAGTGAGCTTAGTGCAGTGGCTACTTTTACACCTCACAAGGACCATGGGGAACAAAAGTAGCCCCCCTCCAGAAGGAACGAAAGTTTCAGCGCCAATTCAGAGATGATTTGAGGATCTACAGCCGAGTAATACACAAATCAGATACATTTTTGTTAATAGTTAGGGTACTGAATGTACTGTAGTTTTAAGTTTTAAATGAGTTTAGTTCCACTTTAGACGCTAGTGTACTGAATGAGGTCTGGTATGGGGGGGGCGTGGTATAATGGACCGCACACTGTGTGCTTTTTTTAATTTTGTTTTTGGAGTGTACAAAGTGTATAATCTATTCAGGTCTCCACAAAGCTGCTCAGGGTACTGTGTTGAGTCTTCCTGACCTGTGAGGTGACGCTGTGCACAGTGCGCTGTGAAAAAATACAGCATGCAGTAAAGCAACTGCATCTTTCAGGGCACTTCACACATACTGCGGTGACCTGCATTTTACCGCACTGGATCAAAGCAGGTTACTGCAAGGACACTTAGAAAACAACTACTTTCGAAGTGTCACATTCATACCACAATGTGGGTGTGATGGGCGGTGCTCAGTGATAAAATGCAAACATGCTGCATTTTATAGCAGCACACTGGATGCCACTGCTGTGTGGGAACCTGAATGTACACATTGTACAGTCCACATAAAGTAAAAAAAAAAAATGTAAACAGTCCACAATGCACTAGCCTTCCCACTAAAACTCATTGTTTAGCAGATGGGCTTGTGTGAATGGACGCTAAGCACTTATGTGTATTCAGCACAACACACACTTCATGTTCCGGGCACTGTGCAGGTATTATGCTGACTTGCAGCAGTTGAATTTCTTTTGAAAAACGTCATTTTCTAATAGTTAGTGGGGGTCAAATCGACGTTCATTTTCGACCGCAGTAACGCAAAAAATTGAAAGTGGTTTTCATTTGATAAACTCCATTCATTCTGAAATCAGGGGTTAAAATCAAAAGAACTTTCAAATGACATTTGCCAAGCCTCCGATGGCATAGTCAAATGTTCTGACCAGATTGTGTATGTCCAGCTATAGGAAAGGACACAAACGGTTCTGATTTGACTTCCATAAGTATGAGGCCCAAAACAGGCTCCGTTGAATGCAACAAATTCCGGAGAGCTTTGCGTCCTAGTCAGTGGCGGAACTACCGCGGTAGTGGCCCACATAGCTCATATGGCTCATATGGCAGAGGGGGGCCCCAGTCAGCAGCAGGAAGGAAGGCTGAGTCTATCTAGTCTCAGCCTCTAGTGCAGGGGTCTCAAAATACCGACCCGCAAGGCAATTCAGGCCAGCGAACCGATACCATCCAGCCCGCAGCTACACGGTCTACATCTCTGTCAAATGCAGACCGCATAGCTGCTCCTGTCAGTGCCAGCAATCACTCGCTCCTTTTGGCTGGAGCTCTGACAGCTCTGGACTCCGGCCAAAAGGAAGGATTAGTAAGGTCGGCACCAGACCTTACTAATCAACCACTGGATCACCAGGGATTATGCAGGTGAGGGGGCTTTTTTATTTTATCTGAGGGGGCGGGACAAGGGGGGTGTTTGTTTTTTGTGTGTGTGGTTGTGGTTGCAGCAGGCATCCCTAATCTGGAGTGACCCGTTCAAGTTAATGATCAGGTGACAGCCACTGCATATAAATGCCTGCACACCACAAGTAATGGCATGAGATATGATTACATGTAGTTAGGAATCAATCACTATCCCTGGATGCTCGATCAATGCGTCCAGAAATAGTGATTGCTTTCTAACTGTATGTAATCATATCATAAATAATAATATATGCTGTATCTCTGGCACTGTGCCACATGACTGTAGCAATCTGTTGTTCAGTAGCATTTTTTGCGGTGAAGGGGGGGGGGCATAAAGAATGTTGCTATGAGGCCCTGTGATTTCTAGTTACGCCCCTGGTTCTAGTAATGTCAATATGTAAACCCTGAATTGATGTGGTGTGTAGTTTCTGCATCTGTAGACTGGATCTTCAATCATAAGCTTGTATATATGAATTCCAGTTCTGCAGGAGATTCTCCTCCTCCTTGCCTTGCTCAGCTTACAGTCTCTCCTTTGGACATCCTTTCCAGAAGTAAACACATGTCATGCTCTCCCAGATGCACTGACAGTACTATCCCTGATTTATATACCCTTGGTACATTGCGTACACATAGTTACACAAGATAAATGGAAGCGGTATTTACCATGAGTGTGACTTGCGTGGCACAGGACACCCGTGTCTGAGTGTACATTCCTGTAGATCAGCAGTGGGCAAATTTGAGCATGCAACCCTTGACTGCGCTTAAAGCCTGTTAGGTACATTATCTTTCTCTTAAAGGCATAACCTAAATATGGGTGTAACATGAACCATGAATACAACATTACATTTAGCCTTTAAACTGCAGCCATTTTTTCTTTAGATATTGTGAAGGAAGGGTTAGAGCCTCTGTTAACTTTTTATTGATGTCTGCGTCTCCATTTGGGTCTTTTTGACTTGTACTAAAATCACAAACGTTTTTACACGTTATTGTCATTTCAAAAG